ATAAATTTTTATTCATTTTTCATCGGACTTGTGCATTCATTTCATAACGAACCCGTACGCACGCAACAATATGTTTATTTGATCTCCAAAATGATTCAGATTTTCAGCGTGTAAGGAAATTTACTTAATTTTTGTTTTTAAATTATGCAATAATTATACTTTCGAAGATAAATTAATTGATGGTTTGTTTCGAAACTTTTAATCGTCACAATGCGAAGAAGTGTTTTTAATCTGTGGAAAAAATTTAAATAAATATTATCTAATATATGGTTACAATATTCATTCAGAAACATTAGAAAGTTAGTGAAAATCAAACAAGCATTTTTAGCTCTTGTTTATGCCTAATAATTCCGTGTTTATTTGAAATTTGTATCTATGATATAATAGTTTAAGTACTGAAGATTGTAAATCTGTAAGAGCATCGAAAAACAAAATTTAATATTTGTGAATTTAATTAGTTTGATAACACAAAGGATCAAAGAGCTATTTTCGAAATATTTCAGAGGAAATGACAAAATGGATCACAGCTGTGATTTATTTACTGTTTCAAAACATAAAAGCATTGCAGCAAAGATCAAAAGAAGAGCTTAGAGTTTCCTTTCGTAAATAAACACAGATATTAGAAGCATTATTAGACTAAAACGCGAAAATTGTAATATTTCTTGCTATGGATTTAAGCACATTCAAGAAGGCTAACCGATAGATAAATGACTAAGTTCTTTGGTAATCTATAATTGACTTTTTCATGTTATCAAAATTCATAAAAATTTTAGATATTCTCGTTTCATACATATATTTTTGTTTATTGTAAGAATTTTGTTTATAAAATCTCAGTTAAATTTATTAGAGATATTATTTCAGCACGTAAGTTTATACATGCGTAATGTACTTATATGTATCGTTAATACATTTAATAATGCTAATTGTTAAAAGCGCTAGGCGAAATATCAATTATATGGAAGACTGATTTTAAAGCAAACAGTGTTTTCATGTGTATCTGAGCTTCACAAAAGATGACAGATTTCGTACTTTTTTGTTGAAGACTGAAGATGACATGTCTTAGTGAAAAATTCTAAAGAGCTATATCCTGAAGCTCTTGTGGTTAGAAGCCCAGTTTCATCTCTTATATTTCAAATATTGCTACAATGCAGCTTTTCATTCAACGAAAATGATCTGAAGATGGACTGATATTATATTAAAAGCCGATGAGTCTAAGTTATTGGAAATTCAATACTTTTATTGGAAATCATTCATGGTGCATGAATCTTCAGTAAAAATGAAAAGAAATGCATGATAAAGAAGCACTAATGGGCTTTATATTGATCATGAAATTAATTTTTGCTGCAGATTGATCACCAAAAAACCAGAGCTACGATAGTAGTAAAATAAAGATGGGCTTGCAGAATCTTTGTAATACTTTATATATACTAGTACATTTCAATTATGTACGTATTCATGCCATACACATCGGAACAACTGCAAAAATTTGATGAGTTTCTTTATGGGCTAATTTATTTTCTTTTCGTAAAAAGTAGTATTTATCGAACAAGGCACACATTATAAAGATAATAAAGTTTGCTAGTATGCCTAAATCCGTCTCCAGTAGATCAGTATTACTTGAAATTACTCTTTGTAAGGTTATGTGATTATGGCAAAGCACACAAGCGTTATCTGCTATTGGATATGGATGCCTTTGTGGAGAACGTTAAGGAAAACTGGTTCGTATCTACATTACACATGGGGAAAAACACGAAAATACCCCCGCACCCAGCCCATTCGTCTCGAATAGAACCCATTTGGAACTGTTAGTGTTCAGGGAATTTTCGACTTGGCCACTTGTGCCCTGGAATTCCTCCTAACACACTACATTTCCTTTTATCTTGATTATCTCTATGATTTAGAACTTGATTTTGAACTTTGATCCCTTGATTATCGCTATGATTTAAACCAGCGATTCTCAACCGGTGGTACGCAAGGGAAAAGTAAGTTGTACGCAATAAAACACAGTATTTTAACTACTAAATTTAAAAATTAAATAGCCCAACATCTTCATTAAGTTTTTTCTCAAACACTCGTAAATTTATGCGATCTGAGCTTTGTTCAAGGTCAATATCCTCTATAGACTTCAGCAAAATAATCCGTTTCTATTTTCACAAGTATTCGCTTAGCCCTAGACATAAGAAAATTTGTCAGATATTGTATTTTTAAATAGAGTAATAGAAATGCATGCTGTATTTAATAGGAAACATAAAGTTCATATAAAAGATAATAGTATTTCATTAATTATTTTAGAGTTTATGGACTTATTAGCCTATTTACACTTTTATGTTGTCACCATTTCCGGACTTAAGTTGCCTATTTTTAATTAGAATAATTTTTTACGTCGATTTGCTGTCTCTGACAGGAGGTATTTTGACTTCTTGTTACTTTGTATTCCTTACTTTTCTACGCATTTTGAGAACATCGTCGTTTTTCAGAAAAATCAGAAACAACATTAAAAAATCCATATAAATTTGGATTAAAAGATTTTTCCGCTCTAGCCAATGCTGAAAAACGTATAATTCTGAGAAGTTAGATTTATTCCTTAATTTAATCAATATTTAAAAATTCTATGTAAAATTTTGAAAAAGCACTTCACCACATTATACTTTCTTTAAAAGTGAGGGTGTGTGCAAATTTTGATCTCTGTCGCTTCTGCCAAACACAACGAGCGATTGAAATAAATATTTATAAAAAATATAGCTTTTATTAAAAACATAGAAAGTCATTTAATTAATATTTTTAATCATTCCTATTTTAAAAGAGAATGAAAAGTTAGTTTTATTGTCTTGGAAATTACCAATCTTTATAACATATGCATTTTGGCCAGTTATAGATTGAAATCTTATAAAACTATGTAATAAATACTACGTCCCTCATTAAATTCAAGCAAGTTATCTTTAATATGAAATGCTGAGAAAAGTGCTTATAAACTTACAAAATGAAAAAAATTTTAAATGAAGGCGTAGATCACACTTCAAGTAATTTTAACACTAATTAGTTCTTAAACTTATAGTGTTACACTTGGTCCATTTACTCCAATAACCCTAGCAAATGTGAAGCGAATTATCTTGGTTTTTGGAAGAAAGACGTGAGAATGTTAAAAATAACCTTTTTATTTAAACAGAATTTAGAGCACTCTCGTGCTACAATTTCCACAGCATGTGGTGATGCAAAATGGAATAGAGCATTCCAAATTAAATCAAGCGTTGAAAAATGGTCAGGGAATAGACAATTAAATACTGCTGGAAATTGGCTCTCTAACTCATTCAGATCGTCAGAATTAGAGTTTCGGCAGCGACAGAACGCAAAGTCGAATAATTGAAGCTATCAGAGCTGGCTAGGAACTAACAACGTAGCGAGCAGAAACACCGCGTGTCTTAAAATCCAAAGTCTTAGTTTAAATAGTTGCTACTCATTTCATTCTGGTGATGAATATGGAAACGGAAAGTTATAGTAAAGGCTCAAATTATAAATAACTGTTTAATTAACATAATATAAATTTCCTGCAAACTCTATTATTTTTAGATTAATGAAGTGAAAGGAACTGTAAATACAAATTTAACAAGAAAGTGGAAGAAATAAATAAATAAAAAATAATAAAATATATTTTACTAAAACCTATACGGAAGCAAGAAAAAAAGCGTGACGTAATGACGTCATAACCTTAAAATCGTGTTGCGAAGCGATGCCCAAAGAACTTACAGTTCCCCCCCTTTCTGTTTTACACAGTACCATATGGTTTTTTAAATGTAAAATAGAAAATTGACCAATTATTATTTTTTTTACTGTTCTTGTTTGTAAAGAGAACGAAGTGTTTGTTTTATAATCTGGGAAAAATTTTCAACTTTACATCTGATATATTTTTAGACATCGAAATTTAAAAATAATAAACGTCAAATAGTAAAAAAATCCAAAGAATGTCGAAAATTCACCAAAATCAGAAATTACGTTAAACATTTCTTAAAAATTAGAATCTAAACCGAATTTTGAAAATATGGTTTACCACATTGCATTTTCATCTACAAACACTCACCAAGCTTTGAGTTCTATAGCTGATGTAAAATTCGTTTCAGAATCCACGACCAACTTTTGGCCATAGTAACAAATATCATGAGTGAGCTAAATAAAATCTTATGAGATTAATAAGATTTGTGGTCAAACATCATGGAAATGCAAGCTTTGCGGTAATTTTCCATGTTGTGATCCTGTCAGGAGTTCTTGCGGTAACAAAGTGTATTCACAATGAAGCGCTTTGAAGCTCCTACAGAGGTGTGGGTCTTCGATGATGCATGCAGACGTCTTCAATGCATTCAAAAAACTGTCTATTCATCTGTCATCGAAACGATGGTCTCATATGCTGCTCCAGTCAGACGCCAGTTCTTGCGAAAAGGGAAGTAAAACATCACATCAGCGTCCACTGCTAATGCGCGCTAATCATCACAAGGACATATCACGACTGCATCGATTAATGTCCTGGAAGGTCTAACACTATTGTCTATTCGTGTGAAGCAAGAAGCAGTAATCCAATCAATATTTCATCTCCGTACAAAAAGCTTCTTAGATGCGTAGTATCATCCAAATAAGTATAAAATAGCAGCAACTTTACATGTTGATCCAGCACTTTTAAGGACAAAGTGTAAATATGCATCTGTACCGTCATAAATTCTCTAGCAACTATACTACTCGTATATATACGGTTGACTTAGGCATGAAAGAGAAATTTGAAGGCGAACTATTTCTTAAGTATGGAGAGAAACCTTGCACCAATGGAAGCAGCAACTATGCGAGAACAGCACGGTATTTCGGAAGAAGAAGTAGCTATTCCCAAAGTTATCTAGAACATCACTCAGCAAAACCTACAGGACATCACCATCCACACAATATCATGCCGGTACTTTTGTCCATATTCAACCATCACCACACATTCCCTTTAATTACGCAAATCCAGAAAGACTTACGGATGCATCAAAATCACACTGTCCTAGACGAAAGCGAGTGCTGGGATGACTATCACCACACATCTTCAAAGTGAAACCAGAGAGACTTACGGAGGCATCAACAGCATAACATCTTGCTGCCCTGGTGAAAGTGCGTGCTTGAGTTCGAGACATTGCAATTGCTAACAAATTAGAAAAAGAAGGCAGTTTAAGGAAGTATTAATTATCCGCAACAACACTTTGGCTATGTTCATACTTAAAGAAACAACTTAAACGCAATGCACATATCAAATGGGAAACAGAGTAGGATGAATGTGAAGAAGTCAGCCGCTCAATTCCACTATATCGCACAAGTAGGCAACAAACGCAACGTCATTTCCCCACCATTAACAAAATTTACTACAGGACACGGTCTCTTTTCCGAGTAATATGCAGTAATAATATGCAACCCTACTGCAAGTTTATAATAAAACAACATAATCAAATGGGAAGTATGATCAAGATTATCACAAACTTCTAGACCATTTCGGCCTTATTCCTCTTTCTACGCGGATTATTTGTCGAAAATTCCGCCACTTTTACCACCGGCCGTTCATTTCTCCTACTACGAGATTCCTGCAAAATATTCTTAAGCAGAGGCATATGAGCGTGCTCATAATAGCGTTTTATCTGATCTATGTTGACTTTAACGCTTTCACAGTTTTGGTGTTTCACATAAACTATGGTTTCCCTTAATTTCTTGATTACAAATGGGGCTTCGGACTTATTAAAAAATTTCGCTCACTTTATTTTCTAGCGTGCTTGAAATAGAATGTTTAATTTTCCAAGCATTTTTATCATTTTAAAATGACCTTTTTTTTAGAAATAAAAATCTCTGGTTTGCTCTAGCCATATTGGAATTTTTCAACTGCTTCATCCACTATTTTCTGGATGTCTAGCATCTTAAATTCCTAAAACCCCTTTTGCAGAAAATACGTTTATTTAAGAGAGTAATTAACTGTATACCAAGAAATAATTCAGCTGAAGTCTTTCCAATAGTATCAAGTTTAGCCGTCCTTTAAGTGCAAGTTCGTTCACGCAACTAATCCCGACACTGACGATAATTTTTTTTTTTTTTTACATAGCTGCGAATTATTTTAAGTATATTTCTATCCATCCCTTCTGCAGTATTAGATCGCGGACGGCAAGAAACCAACTTAAAATGTTCTGTGTCGGGTCCTGAACACAGCTCCTCGAAGATTTGACTAGCAAGCAGTTTTCCAATATCTGAAATTGCTTTACGTGGAGATCAATATTTTAATGTGAAATTACTGAAGAAAGAATCTGCAGCAATTTTAACGGAAGCTCTATTGAGGGGAACTATTCCGAGATTGCAACCAAATATCTATTTTTATTTTTACACTCCGTGGGTAGGAGCCTAGTAGGTAAGTTATTATTAATTTATAAAGGAAAGTTAACTTTTGTCTTACTTAAGTACCTTGCCGGGCTATAGTGAACATTGTTAACTAACTGGCAAATATTGCAGGACTTAACATAATGTGTAAGAAATTTGTGTAGATGTGAAAAATAAACAGCTTCCCGCAAACTCTGAACTGTTTTTCTTATCGTCATACGGCCTGAAATTGACTCATCATGCACTCGCTGGGAAAACCGGTCTTACTGAGCTTCGTTCGGAGTGAAACGAAATTATCAGTAATCTCATAATTTGCAACTCTGTTCCTAAAAGCCGTCATAGCTTGGTGTTTAAAATGATCAGACTATTTTAAATATACACAAATATTTTTAAATTCTTGGTCTAGTTTGAACTCTGCAATTATTGTTTCACAAGAATTCAAAAATTTCTGAAATTAGCATTGTACATTTGATTTCATTCCCTCCTCCTCATCTAATTTAATTTTGAATAGGACATCAGAGACCGCAAAGTATTTTCCAGAAGTATGTTTAATTATTACGTTATATTATTGCAGTTTAAGGGTCTATGTTATGAGTCTTGGTGATAAATTCTTCCAGGAATACAAACGAACCACGGCCTCATGATCTGTAAAAGCGTTTATGGATGAATTTCCAAAATAAACTCGAAATTTCTGAAACGTCAAAAGGACTGCTAACGTTTCCTTCTCTGTAGCGGTATAATTTGATTTGGATTAAGCATCTTATTAAAATATGCAGTTGGCTGTACGTCTTGATTAAGCACGGCTTCTACCGCGAAATATGATGCATCTACAAATATTTTTTTAATTTTCAAATAACATAAAGGGACTTTAATAACTCTTGGATTAAAGCCGTTTTCAACCTTTCAAACGCTGTGTTTGCTTCGGCCGATCAAGTACACCCGGATTTTTTTTAAAAGTTGAATACTGGTTCTGTCATATTTGCAAACCTTTTGATAAAAGTCCTGTAATAGCAGAACAAGCCAAAAATGCGGCCAACATTTTTGCTGTGTTTGTTGAAGTTTAAGTTTTAAATCTTTCATCTCTATGCCATTTTGAGATATGTGACAAGTAACGAACTCGGCCCCAACTTGCATTTAGACTCATCTATTTGGTAACCTTGCTTATTTCAGAAGCGAAAATATTTCGTTTAAATCCCGAACATGTTCATACATAGTCTAGTAGCAGTAATATCGTCTATGCAAATAAATGTCGATTTTCCGAGGACAGGTCTTAGTATAATATCCACTGGCCTTTGAAATGTGGCGGTGAAACCTGATAAATTAAAAGGCGTTCTCAGGAAGCTAGAAACGCCTGGTTTGGTAAAAAGCGTTTTGTTTTTTTTGGCAAAAACCTCTGGTTTCACACATATATGAAAGCATCCAGAGGTGAAGTTTAGCGTCGCCATGTATTTTGTGGATTTAATTTTACCGACAATTTCCTGAATTATTGGCAGTGGATAAACTGAATATTTAGTTATGCTGTTTCATTTCTATCCTCACCACAAAAGGCAATGTTTTGAAATCCATCGGTTGGAGATCATTTTTCTCTCGGCATAGTATTACCCTGCAAGCGTAAGGGCTACTTTTGGGAATTAAAGTTTTCTTTAGCATTTCTTGGATATGTTTTTCAATTACCTGTCCTTTGACTTTATCACAATGGTAGGGCGTGGGCGTTGCTCGGCATGGAGGTATAATTTTCCGTGTCAATACTGTGGTATACTACTTGAGTTAAACCTGGAGCCTCATCGAAACAATTGGAAAATTTGCTTCTGTTCTAGCTTCAGCTTTTCTTCCGGCTTCATATCTCTAAAGTCCAAAGCAGGAGGATAGATTTCCTTCTCTTCTATCATATTCATGTCAAGCTTCAGCGCGACTTTCTAAAAATTAATTTTCTATCTCGCTGGCTTTAAAAAAAATCTATGCCGAAAATTACCTGCGCCTGAAGATTTTTCACAACATTTGAAAATGCCTTTATCTGTTTTCGTGAAGTCCAGACTGCTGTTCTCTGCTTTTGTTCGCTTTATTTATGCATGTAATTTTTAATGTTTATTTATACATGTAACCTTTAATGTTCTAGTTAACTTACTTCTGTAAGCCCCGTGTTGTACATATGTGGTGCACGGGGAGTCTGTATGTTCTCAAAGGAGAAAAAAAAAAAAAAAAAAAAAAAAAAAAAGATAGTGAATACTATGTTTTTTAGAATTTTAAAGTTATAAATCTTGTTTTATTAATTTACTTATCGTTAATTAAGATACATTCAAAGACTTTGCAATTGATTTCTGCGTCAGCGGATTTTCTCTTGTTACCTGCGATTAACTTTAGAAACGTTAAAAACAGGACGTACCTTTTTCCGGTTTTTATTTAGAGTTTATTTAGAAAATTGAAATTTCTTAGAAGTGTAGAAATAATAATTGGCGGGTTTGCCCTTTTCGATTAATAATGTTGCTTATTTTGCACTTAGAAATTTTAATACCATGTGTTTTATAAAGTTTTTGAATTATTGGATAAGACTGTTTCTTTTTTACAAAACACAAAAATATCAGTTCGCAGGTTCTTTACACGCGATTTTTTGAAAACAGAATAAATTTAAAGGCAGAAGACGATGTTTCTCATTTTGAAACACAAATTGTTCACAGAAATATTTATTGGAAAACATTTACTTTTTTTGAATTCTTTATCGAATTCATTATAAAAATGAGTAAACAGCCTTTGTACCTCAAACTGAAAACAAAATCAAATTTAACAAGATAACAATTTAACAAATTAACAACAAGAAAAAACAAGATCTTTCTATACAGAAAGAATAGTTTAAAGTCTGTCTTAAAAAATCTTTTCTCTGAATATGCAAAAACTTATCTGTTGAGAAAATCACGAAAACTCACCATCTGCATTTGAAAATGCAGGATCCTAAAAGCTGGATAAAGAAAATTGATATTATACTCATTCCACTGGATTTAAATCATGTTGACACAAGAAAATTAAAGATGAAAGATGCAATATTTTTGTATATTTCAATCTGCTAATATTCTTTTTAAAATAAACTCTTAGACATATAAAAAGTTGTTATGTTATATTAGCTATTTACTACAAAGCACAACGAACATAAAATGTGTAAAGGAATTTGAGTTTATACATAAATTGCTTTTGCTTTACTCTGTGTTTAATTAATGATTTATTTGAAAGAATTTAAAAATATATTAAAAAGCAAAATGTTTTCAAAAATAAAACCTTTTTCTCCTTTCATAGAAAATGAACTCAGTTAATTTTTGATTAAGTGCCATGTTTAATATTTTCAATTTTAGTTAATTTTCTAAATATTTGTATGCTATCCATGCATGCATATAATTACATTAATATTTATATAATTGCGAAGTCAAAAGAACCAGTTGTAATATATTAATTAACCAGATATTATGAATTTGATCTTTACTTTCTTCTTCTTTTTATATTTCTTACCAGACTACAAATTAGCTTTTAGTGTATTTGAGCTGAGGATTTTCAATCTTAGAGAGCTCCTGGCACTCGCGTAGCGCTGTTAGATGTTGCCAACTCTATCAACAAAACAGTAACCCTGCTTTTGCATTCTCTCTTGCCTGACTGCTTAAATTAGGAGCCAATAAAGTTAATTGAACCAGTTTATAGCTTAGTATATTGCCTGTGTAGTCTTAGGCTACTTTTATAGAAGTTTAAATTTAAGTATCCGTTATTGATTAAATTACGTCACCACAAAGAAGCGTTTTTT